GAGAATACTGTCAACGAGACTGTCGAGGAGGTTGATGAGGCAGATGTCAAGTCAGCAACAACGCCGGAGGCGACAGAAGCTCCTGCAGACGAGACAATAGTCATGGAACCTCCAGCCAATGATGAGGAAGCGAATGGTGGTCAGGGCGGCGACAGCGACAACGAAACCTTGAGACGAAGCAGTCGAGGTACCGTAGTCACGAACAGCACCGATATGTATACGGATGGTGACGAGGATAGTGAGTACAGTTATACCGAAAGCGAGTGGACAGAGAGCAATGTTGGGACTGATGCAGGATCAGTGCAAGGCAACGAGGTAGTGGTCTATGGGAATTAACGCGGAGGAGTAATGACGACAAGCTTGATTTAGCTGGGATACCATTCATGTTTATTTTTGAGATGGAACCGAGACAAAGGAGGCTTGAGTTTGGTGCATTATTGATTGTATGACGAGCGAGCGTTCAGGATTGGCATGGGTTTTGATCGAATTGGAGACACTTTCCCTTTTTCCTTAGTATTTGCGATCTGCTTAGGTCGGGTTTGACGAGAATAATGTTTTCTTGACAACTTTAGTAACAAAAGAATGTACGAATCAATAACTTTACTCTGGACTGAGACTGTGCTTGTGGCCTACAAAGGTCTAACTACCTACTTACCTTACCTCGGTGAGGTGAGGTGAGCAGACCGAGGTCCACTTCATTGACCACCCGCTGAACTGTCTTATCTTATCAGTAACTGAATCGAACGACGTGCCCCTCCAGCAACCGCGCCTAGCTTAGTAGGTATGTAGGATAAACATATAATTTGTGGACCAAGATTCAATCAACATCGAACATAATCCACGGCTTGTCTTCCCGTACCGTCAATCAATCACAATAATCGCCATGGATCAAACCCAAGCAGGGGGGCTCCTTGATCCTCCTGAGCTCACGCCACTCGAGCAAGAGGTTTTGGACGAGTATGAACGCTTGGCCGATAACATGAACAAAGTGCGTCTGCCTCATTATCCTGGCTGGATAAATTCAGAAAGACAAGACAGACTGATATTATTCCCAGCTCGCCACTATCCTCGAACATCTTGCCTCGAACCCTAGTACAGAAATTCTGGACGGCCTCCGTGAGCTCGAGCGCAAGACGAGTCTGGCCTTTACTCTCCTCAAAGCCAGTGTTTACAGCATAGTCTTGCAACAGGAGATTGACTGGGGTGACGGATCGACAGCCCAATGAGTTTAAATGAATCAAACAAGAACGAGAAGGCAGCTTTGTGGTGGAAGATACAAGGATTGATACCCAACCAAATATGATGCGCGAAACGATACCTTCTTTCACATGGCAATACGACAGACATTTGATGTCAAGTGATGATACGTCGACTATACCATTTTTTTTTTTACCATACCGACGGCATCAAAGAAAGATCTCTCTATTACAGGCTACAGATACACGTTTTTTTATTTGGTGATACAGGTGGTTTGTGTGAGAGTGGGTTTAATATACAGCTCCTCCATAGTAGACCTTGCGCACGTCCACCAGCTTCTTGCCCCGGCCGATAGCGATCTGCTCGGGGTCGGGCTGATTGGTCAGCGCTTGGTATGCCGCCTTGACGGAGTTCATGGGGTTCTTGGATCGGGGCATGCGAGCAGCGATGTCGTGGATACCGGCGGCGCGGCACATCTCGAAGATACGGTGAGGGCAGCGAAGTCCAAAGCCTGGGAGGGAGGGGGTTAGCTAGCATGATCGCGTGATTGCCGGTGATGAATGGATACATACCGGGAGGACGGGCCATTAGTTCGACTACAGTGCCTGAGATCTTGGCAGACACATTACCATAGATAGTACGGTTCTCATATCGTCGGACGGGTTTCATGTTGCGGATGGCCAACATCTGAGCTGTCTCCTCAGCCACACCGGCCTCAGTAGACTTTGCCATTCCAAGTCCTAGACGCCCATTGCCGTTACCTGCGATGGCAACCACCGAGGTACTGCGGACCTTGCCCAAACGAGTTTGGTTGGAGACCCAACGGGTCACAAGACCTTTGGTCAGCAGCGAGCGAATTTCCTTGAGGCTCATGCCTGTCAGGCGCTTGATCTCTTGGTACTTGCCCGAGTCATCCTGGCCCTGATCCTCGGGGTCAACGGCGTGCTTGTACAAGCCTGTGACACCAGGAACCTTGCCGAGGTCAGGAGCCTCGGCCGTGTAGGTCCGATCAACACCCGCGGGGCCATCCTGGATGAGCTCAAGGTTCGAGGGCTCGACCTCACCCTGACTGCTGAAGCCAACAATCTTGTCGAGCTCGGCCTCCCATGCCTGGTCAACAGCCTCATCCAACTTCTCAGCCTGGGAACGAGTCATGAACTCGGGACCCTTATCGTTTGCACTGGGCTCAGGACCGTCCTCGGCGATAATGTAGCGTTTGATCAGTTCGGGGTCCTTTTCAATATCCTTGAGCTCATCCTCGGTGAGATCTATCAAGTCCTCTCCCTGGCTCTCCTTCACACGTCGCAGTGCTCGGACCATGGCTCGGGTAAGTTGGTCGCTCGTCTTCTTGTCAGTGATCTTCATCATTCTTTGTCCGTAATTGTCGATCCATTCACTCTTGTCAGGCCATTGCACCTCTCTCGGGGTGCCTTCGATCTCCGGCTTGATATCGTAGCGGGGGTCCAGCACGGTATAATCCTCGATGTATGTTGGCTTGTAGGGGTCGTCACGTAACCGACCCTGAATGATCATGTCTTCAGGGCTGACGGCTTTCTCGCCCAACTCGATAGCCTCAAGTTGCTCCGGTGTGTAAGAGGCCTTGAGGTTCTCGATATCCTGCTTGGACAGGTCGGCAAACTTGTCCTGCTTGTACTTGTCCATGCCCGCCGTAGATTCACCCGACTCCTTGATCAGACCTAGCTCCTGGGCCGTGACATTTCGAAACCGAGACTTTCGCTTCGACCTGGGTGGTGTGCTGTGGAATTGACTACATTGTACGAGAGGGACGGTGACTGAAGCGGTTCGAGATGAGGCGATGCACCTGCCGAGGAGGTTGCGCGCCGGACGTGCGACGCTCATGGTCGGCAGGAGGTCGAGGAGTATTAATTCGACGAGGGGCCAGCGGCAATGGAAGAGGAGGAGGAGGAGGAGGAGGAGGAGGAGGAGGAGGCTCTCTCTCTCTGTCGTATCTCTCTCACACGAGCTAGAGATTTTTTGGGGACCCAAGAAATGGATGGTTCTCAATTGACATGATCCCCATGCGGTTAGCGGTCGATGGACAGCAAAAGCCAATCAAATCACGACTTCTATCAACTTAACCATGGAAGCCACCTAGAGCCGACCCTGGAACTTCCATTCTCCGTTCATAATCACGTGTTCAAGAATATGCTTGTCTAAATCAACCTCATCCATTGTCGGAACGTTCCTTGAAGCCACCGAATGGCCTCAACCTCCTCACTCAGCATCAGTGACGCCATCATGTGAAGCCCAATGAGTGTGATTGAACGGTTTCTTCTTCTGTTTAGGTACTAGCCGCTTGCTTTATCGTACGTACTCTCACAATTGTATCGCCAGCCATAGGTAGCCAATCATGAGCCACCTTCACATCGGTCGACTTTTGTTACAAGGTGAAACGTCTCAGTAACACCCCTGGGAGCCAAGCGACTGTTAGGGGTCTTCCACCGTTGTCACCACTCACTGCTGTGGACCATTTACCACATTCGCCTCGCGTCCCGTCTGCCACTTTGACTCTTTTTCTCTTCCCATAGCTATCTCCATCTCTTTACGTCTTTATTCTATTCCATTCAAAGAACATATTATCTTCCATTCATTCCTATTCTGTACGTGACTGGCGCACTGTACGGCTTAATTGAAATTGAAAAATACGGCATTCCTTTATCAAAAAATACTCTTCCTAATACTACAACGACAAACTCATCCTCGCCAAACATAAGTTACCTTGTCGCCCACGATGGGTCAATTCGACTGGTTCTCCTCCATCGGCGCCACAGACGAAGCTGTTGCTGTCCTCAATGACCAACCCATTATTTTCACCATACTCTTGGTCGTCCTTGTGGCTGTCATTCTGCAGATCGTACTTCTCTGGTACATTCACTATGCAACCATGAAGCCCGAGCAGCGCAAAGCAAAACAGGACAAGAAGGATAAGAAGAAAGCGGGCAAGACAGCAAAGCCAAGCAAATAAGCACTATCTGCGCAGTATCTCTTCAGCAATTATCAACGGCAATCTTTGTCCTGGCCCATGACACTTATTTGCAATCTTATCGACTTCATATTCAACGTCACATCGGCCTCACGATTTCTATAGAACAGGCTCAAACGTCATGCTACGCTTGCCTCTCCCATACGCTATCTATAATATATCAATCTTTCTTAGAGTATCGCCAAATCCCGCCATTCTGGTCAAATCTCTTTTCAGTTTCCTAGTGACACGTTTTCACCATCGGATGCTAGTCTAAGTTACACTGATTGTCGCAGATCAGCCAGTGGTCCAGACTCGGGAAGTTTGCTGGGTCGACTACTGTCTCTTGTCTTGTTGCGAAGTCAACACCCTGCCTCATCCAAGCTTGTTCAAGTGGCATCTCATTCATAAATTCCATTGTGTCAAAACCGGTTCCAAGCCGACCACTTTCACCAAGCCATGGCTCTGGCCAACCTATGGAGGCTGGGCTGTTTGTAGCATCGATCCATAGATGCTGATGCGCCCCGGCAACTTCGAGATCTAAATCCGTTATTGCTCCGTGATGCTCCTCAGCCTTCGCAATATCGAGGTAATCATCCATGACTTCCCAGCTCACATTCATCATTGTACTCCTCTGACTTTTTTGATGGACGCATTCGTCTGATTCTGACACTTTTTTATCCGTTGCTCCAATTGACGGCTGTGTTCCAAGAAAAACAAACTCTTGGCCCGAAATGCGAGAATTTCGGGTCGGGAACATGATTCCCTTTGGCGTTCTCCTATTTGTTGGAGGCATATTGACATGTAGAAGAAGCACCTCCTAAGCCTTTCTTTCCAGTATGTCCACAGAGCCGTTTTTTGCACTCTGGGGGCGAGAATAAGCCTCGTAGCCCGATGCTAGATGAGTCACTTGCTGTCTGAGCACCGGGGATTCGGCATGCTGCATACTTGCTAAGGATGTGGCAATGATGGGCAGTAGTTCGGCGCGGTCCGATATGCTCTGCTTCTCTTATTAGCGACTGAAATAGATAATTGCCGAGACCCATACCTTGAGATAAGGCATATGAAATACTCCCGGCGCAAGCTTGGTGAGGCAGTAACTGAGCCCGCAACCCCAGACTTGGTAGCCCCTGTACGACCGCTCTGGCGCCAGCATCAACTGCTCAAGGAGAATTTCGATTAGGGACGATGACTGCAGGTCTTTCAATACTTTAACATCCTTAATGGTGTCTTCTCGGAGGAGGGTCTGCGACGCATTCCCGCTCCCTTCTTCGCATGGGGAGTTGAGACTGAACATGAAGCTGTCAATAGCCTGTCGGTCGGCCAGCTCCAGAGTGCTTAGTAGATTGCTCTCGGTACAGCTTTTGACCTTATCCTTTGGATGGCCCCTCTTCTTCCGCCTCTTGCTGGTCTTCAAATACTTTCGAGGCCGTTCTTCTTCTTGAGACACGTTGCGCACATCGATCGACAACGTTAACTTTCGAAATGCAGTAGTATAGGCGGAAACTGGGGCAACGAGAGCCGATGAGAGGTCTGGGTGCTGGAGCGAGAAAGACAGAAGTCCAGGTAGCTGAATTGGACATGGCCGGTTGGGTTCTAGATGAACGCCTAGACGACTCCAAACCTGATCAACTCAGTCACAACTAACTCGGGAGTTCCAAGGCATAGCCAACATACCTCGCAACCGCCGACTGCCTCGGCGATGGCATCGAGATGGAAAGTGTCAAGGATCGGATGCCCATTTATGGCGATAGAAACCTCAAGGCAACAAGCTCCGGGCCGAGTAATCCAAAGATGAGAATCTTCCACTGCTGAGGAGAGGTCTCTGATGGTTGCAATATGCCGTACGCCATCAGGGGCATCAATAATGATCGATGCTGAAGCTGATAGTTCGATATTTGCCTGGTTTGCGATCACGCGAATAGTCGGGAGTCGCAATGCGCACGGCATTGTTATTCCATGCTTAACCAGGCAATGGGAGGTGGAGGTGATGCCTAGGTAGGTATGAAAACTTCCGCGGTGTTGTTGGTGGGAATTGATCTCGAGAATTGCACTTGAGGTCGAGGAAGGAGCTTAGGAGCCGATTGCATCCCAACAACCGACTAACCAAGGTACCCGGGACAGTGGGAAGATGGAAGGAGTGATCTGATAACGTCCATTATCTACTAAGGCAGGCACCAAGGTAGGTGATTTTCCATACGCGGCCATCATCCAATGGAAATGCTATAGGCAGTTGAGAGATATTGATAGATAGATATCGTAGGGTGGATGTCCAAAATAAGTCCCTACTACTAGTAAGTCAACCACATAAATCCTAGGTGTGTACATCATTATCTGGCTATGTTCAGTCCAAGCCAATAGGCGCCCAAAGTCTATAAAATGCCCAATATTTGCATCCATAAGGGTAGTGCGCATGCGTGCTCCGTAAACTCCGTGCAATCAATTGATAGATTACTTTGCAAACCATGGGAACTTCTTCTTGGGCGGCTCAGCAAAATTTCCTGAGCCACTTTCGACTTGCACACTTCGCTGATAAATGTCCTGTACGACGCCGTTAGTTTGTGTCCTTGAGTGATCATGCAACTGAATTCTTACTTCTTCATCTGTTGGCATGCGACAACCCAGAATCAGTTCTCTAGCAGTGTCGTGCTTGGTTAGATTTGGGTATGATGTGCTCTGGCTCTTCATGATTGGTAACAGGACCTCTCCCAGAACCTCAAACTTCTTCCAATTGATGCGATCTCCATCCACACCGACGAATGTTCTGCTTCCCTCCTCTGCTGACACCAAATCTCTTCGATGAAGGGGGATGAAGGGAATCCGGGGGAGGGAAGAGTTTTCCCAGGCTAGGCGGTAGGCGAAATGACTCTTCTGAGTTCCCATCAATATGCCCAACCGCGCAAACCGCTTTTGCACTTCTGCCGGTACTAGTGTTCTCGTCTGATTTAATCGATGAATGGCTGTTCCGTTCACGCCTGCTAGAATGGCTGCCAGCCCATTGTAGTTGTTGAGTTGCCGCAGCTTGAGTGAAATATTCATGAACTTTTCTAATATTAGCGCTCGGTGCTTGGCTTTGTCCCGCAGCAAAATCATGTTGGCAACCCATTTGGCAACATGATTGAAATGGTTGATCATTCGATTCACATTCCGTAAACTCTTGCAACGCTCCTTTTGGGACGCAGATAAGCTGACATGTCGAACAAAATCGCGTATTCGAATTGAGGAAAACATGATCCAATCGATTCTGGTCAGCTCGTCCGCAACATCATCATCGGGGATGTCCATGAATATATGGTAGCGGAATTTGTTCATAGGTAAGTTGTCCGTAGGTTCAAGGTTGCTCGCAGCTCTTTCGTAGTCCTCAAACGTATGAAAATGCACCTGGATCGAGACGCTGCTGCTTCTGTCCGCAAGGGAGACCTCTGAGCTTCCAGATGGTCGAACGTCCATGTCCGACTCCACCGTCAATACACTTACACCCGACGACAGCTCGTTTATGTCCTTTGACAAGATCTCACTTGCGAGCTTATCGCTAGTCTCGTCCGAGTTTGCCCAACCTGTATCGTCATCTTCCACAACATTGAATTGCAGGTGTCGTCGCATATGTTGTGCTGCGATCGAGAAAATCGGTTCTGTACTCAGGTGCCTGATAAACTCCTCCAAGTTTCGTCTCGTTTGAGGACGCGCGAAGTCGCCAGGGTAAAGTGATACCCATTTCGCGACCACCTCGATAATTCGGAGCTGTGTGGCTGTCTTGGAGAGGTAATGCGCTGTCTTATCGTCTCTCACTTTATCCAGTCGGGTTAAAATGGCAGTAAATAGCTCACCAGGAGCTGCAAACTTGCGATAAAGACATAGAAAAACATCAGAGAAGTTGTTGTCAATTCTTGTCAAGCGAGGAGCAAGCAGTCGATCAACTAGCTCATCGAACGTTACGCCTGCCATCTTCGCTTGCTTATCCAGGGTGTTCTCGTCGTTTCTTTGAAGTATCGGTATGTCATCGGAGTATCGGTAGGATTCTGCATCGGACTCATCCACATCCAAGAATGAATCGGTACTGGGTCTATCGAGTCGAATGCCAGGAGTCCTCAACATGTTATTGAGTGTTTGCGCTTGGCCCAATTCTCCTGCCTCGGGATTCGAGCTTGCTGTATGGCCTTGCCTGGGGCTACGGGACGACTGCGCTCGGTAGTTTTCGTTAATTGGTGGATTGGAGAAACCCTTGAGTAAAGAGAAATCGGAGCTTGCTCGACTATGTTTGCTATGTTGGCTAATAGGGCGCCCAGTGCCAACGTCAGGAGCTTCCAAATTGGCAGCAGACTGCGCTCGCCTGCGCGAGAACGTTTCGCCATTTTCTTCTAAACCATAGTTAGCAAGAGTCTGCCGGTTACATCTTCCTCGTGCACTCGCCTCTTCGATGGGCTATTGCGGCCCTCAAGATGGTATGGAGGCACGTTTTGGCAACATCAACGTCATTTGAGGAGATTTTGTAGGTTGAAACACAAGATTTGAAGAGGTGATGATTCGCAATGGCTTCCGCGTTGACCTGCCATTCTGCTTCAGGGGTTTCACATTTGCAAGCCACCAGACTAGCAGGTAAACCAGAGTTCGTGAGAGCCGCTAGAATGGAACGTTTAGCATAGCCTCAACCATTCGAATGGATGGATTTCATACCCAAAGTCTGAGGTAGTTCACGCACGGATTCATGATTGGTGACATCATATAATATAAGAGCAGCATCGACTCGGGGGACGATATGTCCATTGATCTGTTTTGGCCACTGGATGGGCTGCGTAGGGTTCAATTCGAAATACTCCAGGTCCAGCTCGAGTAGAGTTACGGCGTGAGAGTTGTTGTCCACCAGCATGCGGACGCTGGAAGCATTCGAGATAGGTGGGCGAGACAGGCCTAAGACCCGCTGGACAAAGGAGGATTTGCCAACGCCGGTGGAACCGATGACGGCAATGTTGAAACTCTCCATAGTCGGTGATGATTGGGACTGTATAGCGTCAAGCTGTGGTCAGCCGTCTGTCGCAAAACTGCCTCTACCCTCCAAACCCCGGATGACCGTTTTGTTTGAGCAACGCTGCCCCGCGATAGCTACTAGGGTGGGGCCGCATGTGATGGAACATGGTTACATACCCAGTACGAAGAGGGTGTAGCGGTCAAAGATTCTCGTCGTGGAGGCGGCCAGTATTGGCTTGGTTCGTTATCATCGCTGTCGGGCTTCACTTTCTTTCCGCCGCCGCTTTTGCGCTTGGCTTGCTTGGCCGCTTTACCGAAGTTGTGCCCCTTTGTGTCGTGAAAAAGATGCTCGTGGTCCTCGTCTTCTAGCGATTGGTAGACCGAACTTCCATCAGATTGGTCGTCGTCCTCGGAAACTGCAGCAGCTTGAACGGCCGGGTCGTAGGTCTGGAAGAAGGGGTCGTCAATAATTGAACCAACAGAATCTCGATGGCCGTTGGCTGGGGCTGAGGGATCGGAGTCGCTCTCGATGTCGGGGCCTATGGACGCCGGGCCTGAAGCGGCAATGCCTGAAGTTGGGTGAGCATTCTGTGAGTCAACATGGTTGGGTTGCATTGTCGCAACTTCAGCGACTAGGCTGAGTGGTAGAAGATAAACATGGACGGGATAGACTCGATGCCAGCAGGCGCAAATGGCAGATGGAGGGACCAAATCCTTGCGGGGATGGAAGAACTCGTGGAGCTTGCTTGACTAAGGTAAGGTAGGGTAGCTACAGCAGGGGTTCAAGCCCGTAGTAGATTTGTGTGTGAGAGAGAGAATGGAGAAGGGATGAAAACAGTCGAGGTCTGAGTAACGAGAGACAAGACGACACTAAATGAAGAGCGAAATGCTAGCAAACAAGGGAGGGAGACGAATTTACCGTACCTTATTAGTGACTGGGAAGGCTTGCACTGTACTGTGTTGTACAGTACCGGGCTTGGGAAACCAACGGAATGAATTGGTTCGATGTCCAATTGGTGGCAGTTTGGCGGCCTAGTGAGAGGGAGGGATGGATGGATGGATGCGCAGATACCGCGGAAACAAGCACTGCGTCCTTTGGGTGACAGCCAGCAGGTGAGACAAATCGAACGGGTATCTTGAATTAGTATAAAGCACCGAAAGATCAGAACAACAAAGATTGAAGTCCTATCAGCTCGTGCCTCGAGGCACACGCACGCGGGACCACTACCTATTCTGAGGCAATCCCCAATGTAGGTATCAAGACACAGAGTTGAGACACCCAACTCGGAGTACTCGAAACCTACTCGAAACCTATCGTGTTAGTCCAATTCGGCCAACCTCAAACCATAAAACGGAGGCCAAGAGCGTTTACACAACGGGACAATGCATGGCTTTCCGCCCGCAACCGGGAGAACTACCTAATAATGTGCAACCACAGCGGCCCAACTACAGTACTGTGATAGGATACTGCTGGCTGAAGCCCAGCCTGGATTGGGTATGTCTTTGTGTAAATCTGAGGAGGAGGACCTCGAACAGATGTCAGGAGAGGGGAGGAGAGGATGCGCTACGACGCGCTGAAGCGGACCCGGTGTCGTGGGTTGAAGAGAGAGTGGATGCGTGTGCGTACAGTAGGTATGTATGTAGGCGGATGCAGATGCAGACGCCTCTGACTCGGAACGGAGGAGAGCCACGAGGGGAAAACTCGTGAGGAACGCGTGCCTAGGTAGGAATGGACAAAGAGTATCATCAATCTTGACACAGTCAAGTTGGACTGCGCGAAATGTCGAATCTGGCACGAAGAGGGGAGAGAGCTGGAACCGAGCCTGTGGCTCGGAACAGGGAACGTTTTAGGTACGGGAGACTTAGTTGAGCAGGCTATTTCCAGTTAAGGAAACTGGGTTCAAAGCGTTATGCAGGCTTGGGCAAGTCAACTAATCAATAGGTAACTAAGGTAAGGTACCTCACTCACTCATTTCTCGGCGTTG